GATCCTACTTGTCAGATATAAACTCTTTCCAGAATTAAAGTTCCAAGTTCCCTTTAGATGCCTAGAAAATCAGGCTTGCTGTTACAAAGATTCGGTTCAGTTCCACGGAGAGGCTTTTCTCCTCAGCAACGTGTTGCATATATGAAATATTTTCCTTCAGTTTCTCTCTTCTTCACACAGGTGGCCATTGCACATTAGCACTAGCAAGAGAGGAAGGAGTCAAAATGTATGAGTGTGTTGTCTTGGTGCAAAGTCATTTTAATGCGTTGTTTGTTGTGTTCATCACAGTTCTTCAAAGCTTCGCACTTTGGCCAGAGGCCTGTCTCCTGCATACCTGAGGTTTGGTGGCACCAAGACAGACTTCCTAATATTCGACCCCAAGAAGGAACCAACCTTTGAAGAGAGAAGTTACTGGCAACATCAAGTGAACCAGGGTGAAATTTTATTTAAAAGTTAACTATGTATTTTAATTAACGTGTCATTCATGAAGTCCCGGAAAGAAAAAGTGTTATTCATATCTAGCAATTAATCATTAGATGGCACCAAAGGGCCTTGGATGCATCCAAGTTAAAGGTGACACCAGAAGGCAGGTTTTTATCAATATAAACCCTATGAAATAATGTTTTCATCAATATAAACCCTATGAAATAATGTTTTCATCAATGTAAGACCCTAAAAAGGAGGGTGCTGGGCAAAGTGAACAGCGAATTGTGCTGTAAAATGAAACAAGGATGGCAGCTGAGGAGAGAAGGGCTTGGAGGGAACATGCTGGGCAGACATGGGTCAAACCAAAGAGTGTATTTTCCACTGAAGATGCAGCACATCCGTTCTGGAAACAAAGTGTGGGTGAGCTGGATGTGCAGAAATACACTGCTTCTCAGAATGGATGCCAAGACTTGACATGTTGATATGTTCTCCAACTTGTATGACTGTGCACAATCACCCGGGTTGCTTTTGAAAGCTTGGGATCCTGGGTCTCACTGCTGTTGTCAGCTGCCATTGAACTAGCTTCTGACTCGCGGGAACCCGAGGATCTACAAAGAGGGCTGCTCCATAGGTTTTCTTGGCTGTAATCTTTCTGGTAGCAGTTCCTAGGCCCTCTGTGAAATCGCCGATTGGGTTTGAACCACCAACCTTTGTCACCAGCTGGTGACAAGCCACTTGTGCCACCAGCCCAATTCACTCTATGATTCCAGTTTTAACAAGCTCCTTGGGTGATTCTGGTATTGGAAGTTTGGGCTTCACTTGAGAAACTGGCCCAAGGGAACCCTAAGAATTTGCTCTTTCAAGAATGACTCAGACCTCAAATGCATGTTCATTTATTATCTTTAACAACTACTTGAAATGATCAAAATTATTTGCATTAGTTGTTGTTGTTAGGTGCCATCGAATTGGATCTGAGCCATTGCGACCCTATACACAACAGAATGAAACAGCATGGGCCCTCACCATCCTCACAAACATTTCCATGCCCGAGCCCATTGTTGCCGCCACTGTGTCATTCCATCTCCTCTGTCGCTGCCCCTCCACTTTACCAAGCATGATGTCCTTCTCCAGGGACTGGTCTCTCCTCACAACATGTCCAAAAGATGTGAGATGAAGTCTTACCTCCCTTGCATCTAAGGGGCACTCTGGCCTTACTTCTTCCAAGACAGATTTGTTTGTTCATTTGGTAGGAGCAATGAAAAATTTAGTATTAGTAATACATATAACGTTATACAAATAAAACTTCTTTATTTAAATAAATAACTTTGTTAGTAGTAGCAATAAAATATTATTTCAATTACTAAAATATTATTTGAAATATTAAATATCATTGAAAAGATTGTATACACCATTTAATTATAAGAATGTGTGTATCCAATGGATGGATGGTTGGATTGTGATAAGAGTTGTATAAGCCCCCAATAAAATGATTTCAAGAAAAGAAACAAAACAGAAAATATTAAAAACCAGATCAATCCCAAAGTGTATTACAGGGCGGATCCAGTGACAAGGTTTTAACC